ATCTATACTGTTGTATCATTAAAGAATAGAGTTATTTTTCATTAACCCGTGAAACTGGAAGACAGTTTTCTGTATTACAGTTCATGAGTGTGTTTGCTTTGTTTTCTTTTGCATTTTCTTAACTATGACACTTTGTTTCATGGTTTAGTGAAAATCGCCTTACAGGTCGTGCTTAGCATGGATAATTGGATTTTATACTTGTCACAATAGAGCGGTTTTGGCTGAGTAGTCTAATTGGTATGTAATTGGTTTGGTTTTGGTTTTACGACACTCAATTGAAAACCGCTCTAAATCCAACGAACAATGCAATGTAATTGAACGTGTGTGAAACAACAAAACAATCTTTAATTATTGAATAGAGGGGGTAAGTTTCCAAAGAAACTGTGGTGCTGTGTCAGTGGGGAGTATAACAAGATAATTTGCTTTTATCAACTGGGTTGATAATGTGAATTGGCCACCGTGAAGAGATCCGAAAGCTGGCGTTTCCCTTCGTCAGAGCCAATAGAGGAATTGTGGGTTGTGTGTGGTTTACATAGAGAAAGATGGAGCTATGCTATTGGTTGGTGCGTGGTAATGTGAAAAACAACAGAATAAATTAGTTGAACGAAAAGCATTTGTTGATACTGTGAGGATTAAGAGTGCCAATTTGAAAAATAAATTTTTGTTCTAGAGTTTTGCGGCTTTCTGTGCTTCCTTGATGTAGGGAAGGCCGCAGACAGCCATATGTTGCTTAGAATGATTGAGAAGATTAAAGTTTATTTTTTTCACAAGCATCTGAGTGGGCCAGAATCCTAAATCCTCAAATTTGATTGGCTAATCATGCACACGTGACCAGTCCAGCTTTTTACAATACGACCCACGGGCCAGATTTTCTCCCTGCTGTAGCGATTAGTGCTCCTAAATTTTGCTCCTAAAAGTTAGCGGTAATTGTCAATCTTTTGCGTTTTTACACTTCCATCGACGATTAGTTAATACAAGTTTATCTCTGTTCACTTTAAAATGGCAAGGAAAGTCACTGTAAGTAAATTCAATTGAGTGTTTTGAAGTTGTGAGAGTTTGCTTGGTTGTTTGTAGCTTGGCGCTGTAATGGCGTGTAATCCTGTGTTTCTCTTGCCGTAAAATTTGAGTCAATTTAAATCGAGTTTACCTCTCTAATCATTGCCGTTTTTAGGAGAATTTCTGTGGAATACTCCTTATGAATTTCCTCGCTTTTGGCTATTCAATCTACGGTAGAAATGTCTGATTTCAAGTGATTTTAATTGCAACGACTGACAGAAATTGTTTTGTTAGTAAAACTGCAAACTTCACACGAAATTTCACACCACAAAAACAATTTTGGAGAACTTTAGTGGTGAAATAAATACAGCTAACATAAAGTACTTAGAAAAAAATCTGTTCTTTAGTACATCTTTCTTTGTCTACTATCTGAATTACTTATTCGTTGCGCAGTTTTTTAGAATGGTGCGCAAGCCGATTCAATGGCAAAGTTGCATAAACAAACCCATTTGTAATCTGTAAAACCAATTTACTGCAGGAAAAAAAATAAACATGTTATTTGCCGGCTTAAGGTCGGTCCGTATAGTGAAAAACTGTGACCTTGGACTTGAAAATGCTGCCCTCAGTCTGCGGCCTCGGGCAGCATTTTCAAGACCTCAGTCACAGTTTTTCACTATACGGACCTCCCAGCCGGCAAATAACATTTACAGTACCGCTCAAAAGTAAGTCACCACCTTCTCGGGAGACAAGACCCTCGTCTCACGAGACGAAAGTCTTGTCTCTTGAGATGAGACGCTGTGATTAATGAAGTCATTAACTTCACTTCAGTAGAAAGTTGCTGTATACATGAAAGAAAGGTTAACAGTGTCATGTTTAAAAGCAAACACGGACCATTCAGGATCGTTCTTGGCCTTCGAGTGGTTCAAAATTTTCATAACCATGTTTCGATCACTGATCGACATGCATTCCATTTCACGTTCCAATTCTTTGGACACTTCTGCCATGTGCGTTTGTTATTTTAGCAAAGGACACATGCATTACGTCATGTTTTCGATTTGTTATGTAATCAAAACTTCACTTCCTTTCTCGCTTTCAGACGAAACATGTACAGATTTACCGAAGTTCTCTTTCCGGTGGTTAATATTTCAATTATTAAGATTGTTTACATTCAATTTTATTGACGAAAACAACGGTTTTATTGTTCAAAAGCGAGTTCAAAGGACAGGCACACTTATGCGAATTCACTGTGTTGCGGACTAAAACTAATCCGGAAAGTATCGACACTTAACTCATCGATTACTCGAGCACTTTCACCAACTTCTTGATTCAAGAATGAAAAACAATGTTTCCATTCAGTTTCTTCATTTGCGATGATAGTATTAGGTCTTGCAAAGCAAGTTTCCACGTTATGTTGATCATATTTGCGCAAAGTCAACAGGCTGCAATGAAATAATTAAAACAAGCGCGGAACTCGAGTTTCAGCGAACGTCTTTGACGTTCGTTTTTCATTACATTCATTTAAGTTCTTCGCTTGTAAGTTAAAGTTGGCTCCCTTGAAGTGGCTTGTAAAACAGGAGCTCGCAAAACCAGATGCTCTCGCAGGGTAAACTTCACTGTGTCATGAGAAATTAATCGTTTTCTCGGAAGCTAACTGCTTGTAATTTATTCCAAAATATACGCTTCAATGGTTCTCACGAGACTCACGTCTCTAAGGATGAAAGTCTTGTCTCGCGAGAAATGAGACGAGAGGTGGTAACTTACTTTGGAGTGGTATTGTACGTCTCGCGACTGGATTAGATGTGTTTTTGTCGTCTTTCTCTACATCACGAAGGTGTTCTCTTAATTATTTAATTATTATAATCTTTAATTATTCATGTGTAACTAACAATATAAATGTCCTATCACTAACATCTAATCTTGTGATTTTTGATTTAATGTGGAAAATGCTTC